GAAAAATTATCAAAACTAAAATAATTTTGTTTTATATAATTCAATCTCATAATCTTCATGAAGACAAACTTAATAGATCTGATACATCTGAGTTCAGCCCAATTGATTTTCATTGTAATCATTCTCAAATTGTAACAACATCAATAGTTAGAAAAAATCTTTAACACTCGCAAATTATCTTTTATGGCACATTAAAAAAGTATCGATTTACTCTTTTATTCCTTTGCTCTGTATTCATCGTACATTGGAAATTCTTTGTGTGACAATCACAATTACACCTGTAGCACGGATTGCTAGTACAAAGTAAGTCTATATATTAGTTTTTTTAAGTATAAAAAATATGTTTCTTTTTCTTATGGGTGTGCCTAATCTTCCATTTATTAATGAAAATGATCTTCTGTTATCATCATTATTAAAATCATTCGATTCAGAAATAGTTATGGTTCAATGCAATATTCATTTAATTGGTCGTATTCTTCATTGTATGCCAAAACTTGATTAATTTGTTTTTACACTTATTGTTGATCAGAATATATGTTACCATTTATTATGGATTTGACTGATGAACAGAATTGGCATGAGCTGTTAATAATTGATATGCCTTATTTAAAGCAATTTGAATGGGATCTGTGTATCAGTTGATGGGACTATTGACTAATTGTTTTGTTAATTTTCCGTAAGTTTAATAGATAAAATTCCAGAAATACTAAGTATTTCTTCTAATTACTTCTTTTTTTATATACATAAGTAATTTTTCCATTAAATTTTATTTGAAGAAAAATAAAATTTAAATCTCAATCTAATTAATTATATAAATATAGAGAGAATTTCATTTCTAGATTTATTTCGTACTTAATTGTTGGATTTATTTTTTTCGCCAAAAGATGTCAAATACATAAAATTGAGAAAATAATTTTTTGCTATACATCTATTCATCAATAAGTTAACGAAGATATTCTTTCTGGAAAATAGGCACCACAGTTGAGAAATAAATAAATAAAATGAACAAAAATATTCGAATTTTACGCCATCAACTTTCAGTCACATTTCATTCAATTGAGTGAATTTTCTTACAATATAAAGTTACCTCGTGATTTAATATTTTATTTTTGTTGCTTATAGGTTTATCTTTTTTCCGAGTTCAAAAGTCTAATAATTATCCGTAGTTTTAATGTCAAGAAAAGATCTTATGTTTATCTATTTACATTGTATGATGTATCTCTGAAAGCAACAATCGATCGTTAAAATAGAAGAAAAAGTTATATTTGTATCATCCGTTACTTTAATTAGATTGATTTCAGTTAAGCACATTCATACGTGGACACGCCATTCTTATCATTTGGTAACATGATGTGAGCTTAATTTTCATCACCATCAAATAAATTTCTTTATGCTAGCAGAGGCAACAACACTATACTACTCTTCCACCTTTAAAATATCAAATATATCGTATGTCACTTACTATATGAGGAACCATTATTCATATCATTCTCATTGAACGGCATGCTACGGCTAAAATGAAGTAAGTTTACTTAATAATTAATCAATCAATAAACCATCAAATTTCTTGTTTCGTTTTCTCTTAATTAGTTTCATCGCTATTTACGAAAGATGACGATGATTCACAAAAAAATATTGATAATCTTTAAAATATCCATATTATTGTATAAGCTCTGCTACTCGAGGGTATGTTTGGCTCTTTGCTGACTCCACACCCACACCCTAGATAATCAATCAAATCACGTCAATGAATTTGTATAATGACAAGATATCTTTTCTTCGTCTATCTCTGCTTGCTTCTTTTTTTTTTTTTTACTTCGGCTGACTTTTCCTCATTAAAGCACATTTTATTCTTTCGAAATAAAATCAACAGGAGAATTCTCTATTCATCATTCTTTCTAAAAAATTGCAAATAGTTATGAATATGTTTGATTTGATATTTTTTGGAAACTTTCTCCATATTTAACAATTGAATCATTTTGCTTAGATCAGTAAGTGGATTCATACGGAGAAAATCAGGCATATGGTGAAAATGAAATATAAAAGATTGAAGATTTTTAAACATTTCCAATAATTCTTTAGCAAGTTCTATTGCATATTCATTTATATAATTTAAATCTTCGAATGCAAGCTTGACTTCAACATATTGGATCTTAACGAAATGCATATAATCTGTTCCAAGAAAACATTCATCGGGTTCTAGCGAAAACATCATTCTGTTTGATGAAAGTGAGGCCGAGGAAAGACTAAAAGATAATATTAGATTTTTGGTATTTGGAAAGATATTAATATTAATTAACCATCGTTTAATAGTTTTAAGATCACTAACTTTACAGTGAACAGTGGTGACACTATCTAATGTTATGTCGATTTCATTTGTTTCATTATCATTTGTAAATAAATTGTGCATCAGTTTAAAATTAAAGGTAATTGATGCTAAATTTGGCATTTTTGATTTGAGTTGTTTTATTAGATTTAAACTGAATTTGGAAGATTTAGAGGAATCCATCGATTTCACATGAGACCATGTCTTTGGAGAATTTAAAACCACTGAATTATTCGATTTAATTTGATCGAAATCAATAAAATCTTTCACGTTGTCAAAGTGAAATGGTATTGTATATACATATGTTTCATGTATTCCAAATGTCCAATGATGATCAAACCAAAATTAAGTTTGAAATGTTGATAAGAAACTTTCAACATTCATTGGTTCTTTATTGAATTCTGCATAAAGATGAAATGATTTCAATTGTATCATTGATTCTAGAAATTGTTGCTGAAGTGTAAAACCATCGAATTGAAACTCGCCAGTATATATTTTATTTAAATTCAATGATAAATAAATTAGTGAAGAGGAAAATTGTTTGATAAACCATGTTAAAAAACGAAAACCTCTTTGATCGATCCAGCCATGTTGTAAGGTAATGGAAAGTTTTTTTTAATTTGATTTGAGATAAATCTATACTCGGATTTGATCGGTCATTTACAAAAAGGATCAATAAGCAAACGTTTAGATATTTTAAATTTCGAGTATAATAAAGTAAAGAAAAGAGACAGTTGAAATTGGATATCTTCAATGATAATGATTGAAGATTCATACTGATATTCAGATTGTTCACATTTGTGAAAGAAGGTATGTATAGTTCTGGTAAAGATTCAAATATATGTAAGGAATTTTTCTCATGAAATACTTCATAGAAAGAAAGTCTTTCATAAACATCGCTTCCATCGACAATTTGACTTTTTAATTTTAAATGAATTTAGTTTCTTAAATTGTTCACTTTTCAATATCAAAACCAATTTATCATGGTAGATGGGTAATGAAGAAAAAATAATCAAAGATTTGAGGTTGGAAAATAAATCAAATGAGAAACAAAAATCACTTGTAGTAATAATTAAACATTCAATTTGTGAACTAATAATCGGTAAAATCGTTTGCCAGAAGGAGATATTACTTGTCGGTGTTGTGAATTGATTTAAAAATCGGCGATGTTGTAATAAAATAGAATTGTCACGTTGATTCAAATAGAAGAATGTGTAAATAATATCATTACAAGATAAATAATCAAAGATTTCGAAGAGAATTTCTGTAGCTAATTGATCAAATAAACTCAATGACTTATTCTCAGAATATTGACACAAAGGTAAAATGAGTCAGAGAACATAGTCATCATGAAGTAGTATTGAAACAAGATAAAGATGTTTTATTTTCATTCACCACTTAAAAAAAAGAAGAGAAACCATCAGATGTCATTACTGGGCAATGAAAAAAATGTTTTGTTCTGTTTATGAAAGAGCGAGAACATGATTGTGCAATTAAAGAACGAAAACGAACAACACAAAGTGATATGTGCAAGAAGCAACTGTTACATTCTTCAGAAAATCAAAAGAGTACATTGAAGATATGTCAAATGAACTTCTATATAAAAGTTTCAAATATCTCAATCACAATGAAATCTTTGAGGCGTTTTTAGAAGTCTTCTTGTTTATTCATCTAAATCGCGTAAGGATACCCTCCCCCTTCGTTGTTTTGATCATTTCTGATTCTCGAAGACGGTACAGATAGAGTATCAAAAACAAAGAGATACGTATTCCAGAAAAAAGGATTTGAATTAGACTTTTGAGAATTTTTCTGGAAAATCGTGGTTTTCCATTGGCTCGAATCTTGAGCCACTACGAACTGCTCAAACTTCATCCGATTGAGCTGAAATTTTTTTTAAAGATACCTAAGACTATTCCTTAGAGATAAATTTCAACATTTTTGGGAAATCTTAGTTTCTTTTTTTTTCTAACGAGGGAGCTACCTGAGATGCTAAAAAGCTTTTCGGCTGGTTATATGATGGTTAGATAGGATTTGGCTAAGTGTGATATATCCTGAGTTGGTTCGTGCGCAAGGATTAAACAATGACGTATTGGACTAAACATTTTGTTATATCTAGCTCAAATGATGATCTTGATAATTTGTAAGTTGTAGCTTATGAAGATAAAGACGTAGATATGAAAGAAAAAACAAGGGAGAATGATTGAGTAGGCATCCTGCAGCGCAGGAAATAAGAGAAAAATAAAAAGTGGCTCGAGAATGTAAAAGGATATATCACATCGTTTATCATATTCCGAAAAACAGACAATACATCAAATCGAATAAGGCAGTTGTTTCGATAACGAACATTCAAAGACCTTTCAGTTTCGTCATAATTTACCTCATATCAAGAGAAAGCAGTTGCTCATGAATTATTCAACCTATTGAAAACCACATGGACAAGCACTTCGTACAGTGAAGAGGACAACACAACTCTGAATCGCAATATATCAGATAATCAGATGGATGACTGCCACGAAGATTCTAATGAGTCACTTCACGATCCAGATTATGCAGAGAACAACGACGAGAATCCAGTATTCGAGTCATTTTCTTTGTCGCATATGAAACGGGCACGTAGCTCGAAAAGCATTCAACACAGATTTAAAAAAATTACTCATCACTCGTATATGGCACGTTTGCGAGACTATGTTGAACAAGAAGGAACGAAAAAACAAAAGATCGATTCCATAAATGATTATGTTTGCAACAACTTCGAACGAGCTCGAGAGGATGTGGGTGTGGATATGGGGTGTGGATATGGGATGTGGATTGTGGATGGGTGTGGGTGTGGGTGTGGGTGTGGATGTGGGTGGGTTTGGGTTTGGGGCTTTGAACTAAGAACAAGACTCACACTCACACCTACAACCACCGTTTGCTTTGCACATCGTGGTGATTTCAAGAAATTTCTTGTGAGTTTCGACATTACATTCTTGACTCATTATTTTTACTCTGTACTAATTTATAGGAATTTCGAGAATTTTCTTTTCCAGAACTATAAGCATATGTTGTAGAGACACATAAGAATGAGTGTTTCATTTTGGCACGAAGAAAACTTGTCTCAACGATGTTCCAAAAGCAATGTCAAATTTGTAGAGAAGAATTTCTTTATGGTTGAGCTTGCCAAAAAACAAATATTTTAAAAGATTTTACTTTTCTCAATCATTGACGATTAGGTAATACAGAATGTTTTTTGGTATCGGAAAACAAAAAAAAAAGAAAAGTCTCGGTATCTGGAACTTTTGTTCTCTTTATACTATTTATCATGGAAGAGATTAATATTTTTGAATAATAAAGGATATGGATGTGAATAAATACTGCTGATAAAAATGCATGAATCAATCAACGAATTCACGATAGGGACTATACTTGGTTATGTTTGTGCTTTAAATCGAATCGATCTTGAACAGAATCATTTTTTCCTATTTGAATGATTTTGCTCCATGGAAAGAAACATCAGTATGAGCGCTTTGTTCATTAACACCGATTCATGTTACTGTAATCGATACATACTACCGACGAAAACGTCGATGAGTAGAAATCGATTGAATTTGATTGTTCACATTTGATTATCAGCAAACGTCTTTTGTTTCAATGTCTTGTCAACTATTTGTTGTAGAGCTCAATCACTATTTTTATTCTTTGTTAAGTTTAATTAAAAGAAATCCTCATATGATGAATATTGAAAGACTTCACGAAATACCCTATACAATAATTGCAGTCTGAAGACAAGAAATCGAACTAAATGTCAAGATATACCGTACGATGAAATTGAGAAGCTCTGAAAGTTTTTCTTAGTACACTTCCGAATGTAGTCGCTAGAAATTTCTGAATATTTGCGCAATAATTCTATCGAAATTGTAACATTTTTACTCAATTTTAAATAGCATTGACGATGCAACAGTAATTATCTGTTTTGCGCGCTTATGGTGTAAGGTGAGTAATGTCGGTAAACTTGATGAATATTCTCCAAAGGATGTGATTCATAGTGTTTTTCCACTCTGTGCTGATCCTGATATATAAATATCTATGCGCGTATTTTACTACTCATCACAATGGAAACGTCAACTAGGAATGCATTGTGCATTTTGATGACAATTCATGGACATTTGACTATGCTCGTCTTCAACTTAGTGATGAGAAGGAATTTCATACTGATATTGATCAACAAATTGAAAATCAATCTTATTCCTTTAATGCAGAAGCAGGTAATTATCATTGATATGTGTATATTTTCATTAACAGTTACACGAATGAATTCATTGTTCAACATTTTCTTTTCTTTTAAGGTCTGGGAGCAATTGATGGTGATCAACTGCATAGAATGTACCATAATATCAAGTTATTACGGGTTAATAAAATGAATTTTCGTTTTGGAAGAAATCTAAAGAACTGTACAATTACCAAAGAAGAAGAGAGAACATATGAACCATATGCATTATATTTAATAGAAAGAACAAAGTCGAACAAGAAACAATGTTCGAAAGACGCGATCAAAAAAGAAATAAGATATCAATAGAATGAATATGAAGACGATATACATTATCAAAATCAATAAAGTGTTAGAAATGAAACAATGGATGAATTTGAAGAGAAAACACTACAAGAATGTATTACCTCAAGTGAATAATTATATGAAAATGTTGCCTACATGAATTGTATAATTAAAAGGATAAAATCGAATTAATTCAGTATTCTATTTGATTGAAATTTGACGAAATCTGTAGTCATTATCAATAGAATCTCATTTGACGCTTTACATGAATGCATAGTTTAATATCTCAATGAACTATGATTAGATGATATTATCACTGTAAATAAAAGAATACGAGTCGTCATTATTAGCGATCTTAACGCCTTCAATTATCAATGAGTCAGTGTCAACAAACAGCATATTTTTCTAAATATCTTGATAATTAGTGATTCCTAATCTTCTTTATTTTTCCATTTTATAAAGAAATTTACCCTAAAAAATCTAAATGTGCTAAAGTTTGAATATTCAACGATTAATGTATTATAGACAGTCGTCAATATGTATCCACGTTTAATTGTGCTGCCTATTTACCACACGACGTTAGCGAATTTCA